ATAAATTAAACTATGGAAATCGTCTCGGGTCGCCGACCACGTTCCTAGGGTCGCGCATTCTCACTTTGCGATACGTGAGCGGAAAATGTTAACGGACGACAAGAAAACGAGTTGTTTTATAATCTCCGTTTCCTCGGCTGTTTGAAATGTTAAATCCCCATCGATCGCGCATTTATCCGAGAGATGTATAATTTAATTCTCTTTATTTAACTTGAAACGAATGAATCCGAAAGCGTTAACTCCTTTCTTAATTTTTAAGCATAAAATCAAAAAGCTTTAATCAAGATTAACGAACATTAATGAAATAATATTCTACTGTGTAATGATAAAAATTAACGAAGATATATTCTGTATTAAGCGAAAATCGGAAAACGAGTATATTTCATCATCCGAGGGAGAAACGCGCCAAGAGATCTATTAATCAATCGCGGAAAGCGATGACACGAGACGTTTAAACGTGAGAAGGAGGCGAGATGTCGAATATGCATTCCGCGCGAAATCGGGGAATTCGCAGGATCCGATCCTTCAGATTCGACACAGGAGAAGAAAGTTCGGAGTGAAGAGGTAAGGATGGAAAGTTGAGCGGAGAGCAAATGGATGGCGTGCCGCGCTCATGGAAGAGTCATGAGAGACGTTCCCTATACTTTCCCGTCACTCATGTATTACGGAAAACTTGCATTCGTATGGAAAATCCGCGCGACCTGATTGAAAGGGTTCGCGAAAGCGGAGCAAGCTCGGCTCGTGAATTTTCGCAAAAGAGCATTCCAACCGGAAAATATCGGCGATGACGACGGTACTTTGCCGAGGAATCCAATAAGTGAATTTATCGCATTTTCACCTGTAGCCAAAAAAAAAATAATTTGTTAGAGACATCGGAGATTATTTCTTCAGCTAAAAAAATGTTTTCTTCCGGATGATTCAGATATAATATGTATTTTAATTTACTTGCTGGCACGAAATCCTGGCTACTTTTGCAAAGAAAATGACTTATTGGCGATAAACCAAGTTTCATGTCTCATTATGTATGTGCGGGCTTTAAGAGATTAAAAGCGTCGAGAGCGAAGAATTCTGCAACTGGCCCAGTTTCGCAATCGGTTAGCCGGGTCTCGTTTAGATTCTTTATTTGCTCGGTAAATCCCGCTGAAAAACTACAGGTGTAGCGCGGATTAGCAAATCGATAAAACATCCGAGAAATGTACCGTAACTATCGAGTCTCTTGTATTGCAATTCGTCGATCTATTTCGAAATAGATTTCCTTGTTGAAACTATACTCCATTTGCGAAATTATCGTGAATTATAGGAATAAAACAAATTGAAGAAATCTTCTGAGAGACATAAACGTGAGTTTCGCGTTCACGTGGCACTGAATAAATGTAAACACTTTCATATAATTCTCGCATACAAGTGGATAAAACACTTTACTATTTACAATACATGTTAGAGATGTTTTATAATAAATATATAATATGAATATAATATGAATTATAAAGAGAAATATTTGTGTAAAAGAAACGTTTAAGAGTTTTGTATGTTTCGCGATATCAGTGCTACTTCATTATTCGAGAAAGTATATCAGAAGATGTAGAATTTTTAAACAATTGACTTGATTCATGTGTGCTAGTTCGTAGATTGTATCGATGTCAGTGATGCGGTGCATGAAACCGAAAACAATACGAATCTTCGCTTACGCTGACGATTGTTGGCTGAACGTGGTCTACGGAATCTAACAAATCGATGGTACTGCCATTAGCTGATGAGGGCACCGTAGTTCATCAAGTTCTTCGAACCGAGATCGGAGATTACAATGTGCAGGGAGAAAAGACCGGAATAAAAAAAAATGCCAAGAAATGTCGGGAAAATAACAGGTTCATTCAAATGATAATGATAGCATGACTATTATGTCTAATAATGCCTAGACAGATGAATAGATTCGATATTGGAGAGTCGAATGACTCGATTCATTTTCCCTGGCTAACCAGGAGAATAATTTTTCTGCTGATTAATCTTATAATTATCTGAAGTTTTATTTCATTTAACTTATTTTCTAATAAAAAATCTTCTAATTTTTAATCAGTATTATAAATATTTCTCTCGTTATTATAAATATACTATAGACAGATATTATTTGTACAATATGTAAACATATTTTTTATATGTGAAATAAAAAATATATCGTTACATATAAATCAACATAACATTTTTATGTTGCCCAATATAAAGAGAGAGATTATTGCATGGTTGTGGTTTCTCGTCGCATCGCGTGGCAAAAAAGTTTTTTTATGATTTTCTAGTTTGGTTTTGAAATTATTTTTCAGCGAACCGATCAACGTTCAATTTCGCCAGCTTATATTTTTTTGTAATAGTTTCGTGTTTGAAAACCGATATATAAAATAGATAGATCAATTTTTCAGAGTATTTTAAGGTAAAAAGAAACTGAAGAGAAAGAGAAAGAGAGAAGATAGCAATTTTTTTCATTTAAATAAATTTCGTAGGAAAAATAATTGAATAAAATCACTGGAATTAAGAAAGTCTCCAGAGATGATATAATCTTAAGATGATTACTTCTCTATGAAATTATTAAATTTTTTTTTAATTTCACGGTAATAAGATTTTACGTAAAAAACGTGACAAGCATGATGTTAAATAACGGACGACTTAGTCAGAGAAACTGAATCATAGATAATATAAAATGGTTATATCAGTGTTTCTGACGTATCAAGTATTAAAAAAGAAAACAGAAATCTTGATTGCGATCCTCTTTGTTCGTTCAATCTTGGTCGAAACGAGAGATTCATATAAATCGAATTAAAATAAGTTTTACGGCCAAAGGAAAGAGTGTTGGATCCTCTTGAAAAAGGCGTGTTAAATCAATACTTGCAAGTATTGTTGCCTCTTCTCCGTGATGCTAATTATATATATATATATATATATATATATATATATATATATATATTTACTTATGTATATGTATGCTTTGATATTAATAATCTTGATAATAATAATATAATATTATGTAGATAATTATATATATATATATATATATATATATATTTTTTTTTCCTCGGATTATATTATATATTAAAAAAGGAATTAAATAGTGCGTGCACGCTTTGTAATTTTCTAGTAAAGAAATTTAAAAAATTCCGATATTTCTGTCATTTCCAGATTGCTTTGTATTTTATCTGAAATGATTTTTCTTTCTTGTTTAATAAAAATAATTATAATCTAGAAAAAAAATTATGCATAATGTATTGCATCTTTCTAAAAAAAATAGATATTATATAATTTAGAAAAACAATTCTTAGAAAATAAAATTTCAAAATTAAATAAAGTTTATGAAATTACAAATAAGATTCATAACATGAATTTGAGTTTTATTAAAATTAAATTGAACTATTACAGATTTTAATTTTTAACAAAAATATATTTTCTTTATTTATCACAGGCTCTTTAAAAAATTACAACGTTTCGCTTTCCAAGACACAATATGCAAATTAATGGTGAGACAGAAAACAATGAATATCAATTATATTGCGATCAGAAGAAAAAACGATCTTGTGCAACTTCACGTGGAATAAATGTAAGATGTAAGAATAGAATACACGTGTGAGACTTTCGGAAGATTCTTTGCATTTTAAACGTCGATTTACTCTTTTCGAGAGCTCTTCGAAAACGAGCACGAGTAGTCAAAGTCGTCGGTTTAGCTCGTTACAACTCGTTGAATACAATATAATGGAGATCAAGCAGGTTTTCCTGAAAACGCGCGCCGAGTTTGGCAAGCAGTGCTTCTTCGATGTGTATGGCCCGAACGTGGACGTGGAGATCAGACCAGATCCCGATGCTATGGCCAATTACATTAGGAGGACACACTGCAACGTCGGCGTGCAACACACCAAAAAGCTTGCGTTGCACGAGGTTAAAATTACGAGATACGCTATTGATATAAATAATAAAAGTGCAACTTGTTTTTAATAAATCTCTGATTATCTAATGAGAAAATCTGTATTTTTTGAAAAATTTACATATAAATATACAATACAAATAAGCTTTTGTATCGTGCAAAATGTATATGCAAAACGATTTCAAAAGGGTTATAATTATTTGCTTTTCTTTACGAGATTTTAAGTGTAAATGACAATAGCTCTAGCACAGCGTCAGATTCGATGTAAAGGGAGAACCAACTCCGGAGCTTGTCGCAGCCGCAGTTCTAGAACTCCACTAATGTATTCAAAAATCAGCTGCGTTTTACTTTAACGGAACTAGACGCAACTTGCGGTAAAACTGGCGTCAGGCTGACGCGCCTGACGGCGCAGCATCTGTGAGAGTTCGCTGTCTGATGCCGCAAGCGTGCAACTTACTACGAAACTGCAACGTGGAAAGACGATACCTCATGTGAATTTCACGCGCGTAATCGTTTTTCTGCTTGTTTTATAACGAGGCAACACGTGTCGAAGGCAGACATCCCTTGAAGAGCAATAACAATTTTACATCTCGCATTTCATATTTTATGTATCAGAACGTTTGCGTGACATTCTACAACCATTAGGCACCTGTAAAATGAATTTATTAACGCTAGAAAGATTTACGAGATCTCATAAATTCTATGATATAGAGAAAAAGATATATATTTGTACGGAAATTGCGTAAAAATATATAATTTATTTTTTAGATTTATCAAAGAGAAAATTATATATTTCTATTTATATTTTATTTTCTCGTATCACACGTAAATTAATTTTTTTGTAAAACAATCATCTCCCTCGATAACGATTTACAAATTAATTTATATTCTATATTTTTATATTTATTATTAAAATGAAGAACGTATAAAAATGATGAAAATGTAATCATCGTGAACAAATAATCGCATTCAACAAATATTTGAATTTACTTTATCATTCATATATTATGATTTTGTTATATTATATGCAAGTGTACATATAATGCAGAGCAAGTTTAGATAATAAAATTATCTAAACTGTAAGCTTAGGATCCGGCGATCAGCGCTATGGAATTCTATGCTAACGTTTCAACAATCATTTCTCTGAAATTCCAGGCTCAGACCGTCGGAGCCCAGACAAAGAGCAGCGGAATGTTTCACTTCGAGGGTGGTTGGCCGAAGGAAATCAATCCGAAGGACGAGGAAGCTACAGCGAGATTCCGCAGACGAGTCGAGAAGGACGAAGATTGGGCACCGAAATTACGCAACTTATTCCAAGTACGGTGTCTCTCTCATAATGGATTATCGTCAATTTCTATTCTCCACCAATAAAAATATCTTGGAAAACTGATTTAATCAGACTCCTGGGTGGAGAAATAATTTTCTCGATCGATTACGCGATTGACACAATGTCATCCTTCGTTTAAGCAAATACAATCACGTTGTTTTCTTTCTTCTAGCAAATGGAACATAATATCCTCCAGAATGGCGCACTTAACATATACGAACACTATTTTGACGATATGGTTCCCACAGAATTAGTGAAACCTCGTAAACTTAGGTAAAAACTATATCTTATTTATGATAAGTGAGTTTTACATACAATTTACATATTATAAACTGATCTTTCTTTATTTCTCCGGGGAATACACGAATTAAAACTATTAACACAAAAAATAATAATGAATAATGCAGCGAGAAGTTTGAAATATTCATGTTGGAAGATTTTTGGCGAAATATCATAGTCGTGATGAATATCAGAGAATTCAATCGTCTTTAGTTAAAGGGGAGAGAATCGTTTTTATTATCATACGATATCGGCAGCATGCTCGCAACTTCGTGACTCCAACTGGACAATTTTAAAATGTATATATTCGCGGGGGACAAGAACGACTACGTTGGTTCGGCCATCAAAAGATTTAAAATTTAAACCCGGCCTGAGCCTGAAGGTATCTGAACATATGTTCGGATTCCGGAATCGTAGTGAACGTGAATTATGCATTCTGCCGCTAAATTTGCTCTTTCCTCCCTTTTAAACTAACCATTTTTTGCGTGAAAATTGCGAACGGTTGTTCTGAATTATTTAGTTACTTAATGAAAAGAAGCGAGTAAGGTTCTGTTGCTGAAAAAAATACATTTAAATACACATACGTATATAAAACAATACAGTATTTAAATTTAATACGAGATTTAAAATTGTTGCGATGAAAATTGAAGCGTGAGATAAAAAGAAAAACATATAATACAGAAAATTTAATATCCAATATAATGGATTTGATAATAATATTTATCGAATACTGTACTAATATTATGAAAACATTCATATATTTTAAAAAGTTTATCTCTCTCATCAAGTTACAGACACTTCTCGTATTATTTTCGATATACTAAGACACACTTCACACACATACGTTTTCATATTGTTTCATATTATCTGAACAATACGATTCGAGAGTTTGAGAGACATTTTAAAATTATGTCTATTAAAGATATATGGCAGGATTTTATTTCAGAACAGTGAATGTCTATGAGGATCCGCAAACACCAATGCGACGAGTGAATAATATTTCTTGGTCGCCAGACTCTGGTAGTAAAATGGTAGTCTCGTATTGCTTCTTTGGAATTGAGCCAGATTACAGTAACATTGCGTATATCTGGCAGATTGGTAAGTAGAAAAAGCGCGGAAAAGCCCTGATTACATTTAAACGCTGAGCTTGATCACGGTTGCACAGTATCCGCGATAAGTTTCCGTCCTGAATCCGCATTAATGTTTTTTAGTAATTGTTATTTTTTATAGCATGCAAAAGAATTTCTTCCTAATAAATCTCTTTCGTTCCAAAAAAAGAAGAACAATTTTTCCAATTTAAAGAATGCTTTTTTCGACAAATGTCTCATTAATCGTAATATAATTTATTTAGAATTTTATTTAGAATGTTGAGAATTATTTTATAAAAAAGTGACTTGAATTTTTCCAGAAAAAATATATCTTGTCGATATAATGTAAAATAAATTAAAGTACAGAGTATTTATATATTATTATTGAGTAAAAATAAATTGTCGGATACGTTATAGGCCTTTCATATGAGAAAAATAGATGTTCATTTTCCGAAAGTATGGTTTCAGATTGGAAAATTCCATGCGAAATTCAATTTCATTCAATCGAGTATGCAATACCTTCCTAGTCAATTCTTTCCATACAACCTTCATTCAACATTCGATAGAACGTTGATTGGTCGAACAACAACGCATTGTTACCGATCTGTTAAAGTATAATATATAACAAAAAATACAATATTTTCTCCGTATGTTAAAAATCATATATTAATTAAATAAATATAATCATCTTATATTTATATAATTAATAAAAAACTAATTAAAAAATTCACACGAAATATAAATCGAGCAAAAAATACAATAACAAAAAATAACAAAAAATACAATATTTTCTCCATATGTTAAAAATCATATCAATTATATAAATATAATCATCTTATATTTATATAATTAATAAAAAACTAATTAAAAAATTCACACGAAATATAAATCGAGCAATCAGCCAATATAACACTCCTATCGTGTATAAAAATGGAATGCAATTATACTTTATTTACGTCTCTAATGGTTTGAAAAACCACATTTCGCAGATTAATATTTTAATGTTTCGAAAATAACAGTAATAGTGTTTTTATACATATTTGTACGACCGACAACGTTAAAACGGATTTCGTAAAAAAAAACATACAGACAACCCTAACAAACCCTGGATGTCGCTTGAGGCTCCATCCGCCACCGTAGTCAACGAGTTTAATCCTCGGGATCCTTCTGTACTTGCCAGCGGCCTGATGTCAGGTCAAGTTTGCAGCTGGGACATCAGAACTGGTACTTCTCCGGTTCAAATGTCTCATCGTCAATTCAGTCATAGGTAATCTCGACACGAACATGTCTAGTCGTGCGCGACGTCGGAACTTTGGATTTCATAATTCAGTGCTCAGAGTCCTGTTCTTGGTCGCTCGAAAATGTGTTTCGAGTTTGCGGTCATGCGCGACAAGATGATGAATGAATAAAAATGTTGTCTCTACGCTACGTTTCCGACTTCAATTAAGTTTTATTTCGTTTTTACGCAACGTTCATCATGTCGCGTGGTTCTTCTTTTAAAATAGAACGATTGAGTTGTCCGCAAACGTGACGAAGACTAATTAAAATTTTCCCGTTTACACAATTGTATAATTAATTTATGAGATACACATGTTCAATACATAATCCTTCCTCTTCAAAGGGATTTCACGACAGTTATAAAGTGGATCGCCACGAAGAGTAATACAGAGTTCTTCTCGGGCTCTTCGGACGGTCGTGCCATGTGGTGGGATACCAGAAAGTTGCGAAGACCAACCGAAATTCTCATGTTCGATCTCCAAGTGCCAAACGAGCCGGATATGGATCGGGCGATCGGTGTCGTGTCAGCCGACTACGAACCCAGTGTGGGTATGAAGTTTATGTTTGGGTTGGAAAACGGTGTCGTGATCAGCGGTTCAAAAAGGGCGAGAACTCCAGCCGAAAAACTGGCTCTCAGATTCAACGCCCATTATGGTCCAGTTCTTTCCGTCGATCGCAGTAAGTTTAATCCCAAGATCTTTTTGACAGTCGGCGACTGCACAGCTCGCCTCTGGGCGGAGGATACCAAGGACGACAGTCTTGTATCGACGAGGTATTTTTCTTTTATTTGAGACGAGATAATCGGAAAAAATATTTAACCTACAAAAATAGCAACGGAATTTGATATAAACACCTTCATGAAAAAATTAATGTTGTAGCTTAAAGAATAGAGTCTATTGAAAATGATCGTATTTGGCTAAAATGATTCTTTTAAATCGAGAATATTGATTCCTGTGAATATATAAAATTAACATGTGTTAGAATTGTACATCTATTAGTGCAATAAATAGATAATTGTGAACCTGGAATTTTTATCTCACACAATTAATTCTTAATTTTGAGATTCATAAAAGAGGATCCCGTTTGTGGTTGCTGGAATAAAACAAGACATTCGATATTTTATGTGGCGACACGTATCGGTGTGCTAACTGTGTGGGATCTTCTGATGGGTTTGCACGATCCAATCTTGACGATGAAACTTTGCGAGCAAAAATTAACTGCTGTCGCATCACACGAAACGGGAGCTTTACTGGCCGTCGGAAATTCCGCTGGCAATGTTTACCTTGTCGAGTCGACGGAAGCATTATATACGTTCGATAAAAATGAAAGGAACGATCTTACGTCGGTGAGTGATGGACGGTTTATCTTTTTGCAAATATGTAACATAATATCAGTTTGCGAGAAATGAAACAAGCAACACATGGATAGACATTCGAAAATCTGTAATGATATTACGAGATATATTGTTATTTCGTATTATTAGTAAAATAAAAATGTGACGAAATTAAATACGAATATTATACCGAATTTATATATATTATAAGAAAATTAAATAATACAAATACATATATTTAAAAAATGTATATAATAAAAAAAATACTAAAACACATAAAATGATAAAACATATTTGCTAGAAAAGGCATAAAATAAACGCAATGTTCATTAGACTTTTCCGAATTTGATGCCAGTATCTGGAGAGATGTTCTCATTTCGTGAAGGCAATAGAGACACGGTTGAAAGAAATAAAATTGGCGAGAACTGCCATAGAAGAAGCAGAAGCCATGGTTAATTTAAAAGATAAAAAAAAGGATAAACGGTTAAATGATCGCGATAAACGAAAAACGCAGGAAAAATTAAAGGATCCTCGCGAGAAGAGAATTATATCCAAGAAAAAACTTAAGGATGAATTTCCTGAACTTCAAGAAGATGAAGACAGATTCTTTGAGATTGTCAAGAAGGTAATAATATCAAATTAATCGTCCAGAAATCCTGCATTTTTTGATAAAAATTTTTCATTGCTCAGAAATTATATTTATTTCTCTTTAATAATACTCAAATATTTGTACTAATATAAATGTGTTCAAAAGTCATGTATCTTTTAAACATATTTAATTTTACTTAGTCTTTGTTTTACATTTTCATAATTTAATAAAATTTCTAATATATCTCTCTTAGTCAGCTAGCTGCTATATATTAATAAACTTTTGTAATATTTCATCATTTTTTCACTCTTCGATGTAATTTTTTTACTGTGATTTTAGCATGTTGTCACATGCGAGATACTACTAAATAATAATTATTTTCGAGGAAATTTAATTCCGTGAAATATAAATTTCTCATGCAAATTATATTTTATATATAAACTCTATATTATAATAATATTATTCCAAATAATTAATTAAATATCTAAGTGTTAAATCAATTGTTACTTATAAACAATTTATTTAACATTTTTTATTAAAAAATTATGATTAACAAAAATAAATAAAATTTTATTTGTTATTTGTTACTTTATTATTTCATCTATCATTTTTTCGCAATCCGTAGGAGAAACAAAAATATATAGAGAATGACGATCCAGATTTTTCATCCGTAAAACTAGCGCGATCCGTAAAGAAAATTGTCAGTCGAAAGATCGAAAAAAATTCACATTTGGTACAAGAAGCAAAAGAGATCGAGACGAAAATACCGCCTAAGAAAATATTTAAGGAAGATCGAGAAAAATATTTAAAGAAGACCGAAATCGCAGAGATTCCTGTAACGGAAGCAATACAAGATGTTGAAGAACAGAAAGCAATAGCGGAAGCGATCGTGGAAGCTCCTATAGAGGAAATTAGCAAGCGAAAACGCAGAAAGAAACTACGAAAGAGACCGAAGAGAAGGCTTGTCGCCTTCAGATTGCCGAGGCCATGCAAAATCGGCATTTGCAAACCTGACATTTGCTGCCGCAGAACTACGTTCCGAAAATTAAAAATTAGGTATTGGGACATATTTTTATAAATATAAAAGTATTTAAAAAATCTTTTAATTTGCGCTAAGTTTCATTATGTTAGTCGATTTATATACAAAGTAACTCAATCTCTTTTAGTTATTCTCTACTTTAATTTAAATTTGAATATTAATATATATGATATCAAAATATATTAATAACTCTGATAAATTGCTCTTTATTAATTTCATATTTATTTAATAGTAATGTAAAAAAATATTTTTTAATTATATTACATTTTCGTTGCAATTTTATTCTTTAACAAAAAATTAGCGCGTTTCATGTTCACATTTGATGTTCGATAAACTAGTTGAAATAGATAAAACGTTAGTGGCTTTTAAGATTTCCTGACATTGCCAAAAATCAGATGACGCTTCAATTTTATTTCAACCCAACTGTCGATTCTCTTTCAACTTTAAAATCCATGAGAAAAGCACATATTGAATCGCCAATGTTAGATCCACAGATCGAGCAATCGAAGGTCATGAGAAATGGGGCGAAGCAAGAACGTCGATAAAAAGTAAGGAAAAAATAAGGCAGAAGAGAAGAAAATCCTGGACGAAGCTGCTACGTCTTCATAAGTGCAAAGAGTTAACTAAAAAATACGATAAAGGAAGAATTTCTCTCCAAGAGACGATGCCGACGCCCGAAGAACTAGCCATCACGGTGGAAGATGTGAAGAGAGCTAAAAGAGAGATCCAGGAAGCCAGCAGAGCAAGAACGAAAATAAGAAAACCCGCCAAGAAAACTTGGAAAAGCTAGTTAGTTACAACCCTAAATTTTTCGGAATTAGACT